TTTGATTCAAGGGTCAAACAGCTTTTGCTATAGCGATGTGACAAAGGTGTGCATTGGGTATCTTGTTATAAACATCAGAGACAGGTTGGCCAACTAAAGCCATAAGAGGAAGGCATGGGCAGGTTAGGGGTGGATGACAGACCCCAGCAGGGCTTGGCACTGATGAAGAAGCCAGGGTGGTTCCCATGACCAGACTGACGCCTGCTCATGGCACCACTGCTCAGTCCATTTCCTATGTGACGTCACCCCAGGTGAGACTCAGCATCCCAGACGGGGGTACTTTAAGAACTTGATCCCTAGGCCAGCTTCCAGATCCTCAAACACGACAATCTCATTTGTCCCAGAATGAAGCCCTGGTCCTGGAAGGTCTCCTGGGGACCTACTTTCCAGGAGCGTTCTAGATTTTCTCTGCTGACAAATACAACCCCTTTTGTCCAGCCCCCCAGTCTACAAAGGTGTCTCTCAGCTCCCCAACTTTGGAGATGCCGAGGGTACTTGTCAAATCTATTAAGTGTAGAGTATAAATGTCTTAACAAAATAATTTAAAAAGTGCAGTGAAAGTTTGTTGCATTTCAAATTGTATACAAAACCAACACAGTGTACTCCATAAATGCATTCATGTAAAAAACTAGAGTGCAAAAGAAAAAGAAGAAAATAAATGTTGGCACAAATACATTTGAATCATACATCAATGGGCAGTAACAATTAAAAAACTCCGAAGACAAGAATATGGGCCAAGACAGAAAGTTGTAGACATGCCCAGTACAAAGGAAAGGAGGAAAGTATAGAAACAAAGGAAGAAGGAATGGGAGAGAAAGGAAGAAGAGTGAGGACGCGAAGGAGTGATAGATGCAAGAACTACGTCCAGAACAAAAGATGAAAGAACCCCGTACTCCATGTGCTAAAGGAAAGCATCTTTAGTGCTTTGTGCTTTCTTAGAAGGTCAATGAGGCTAAAAATCTATGCTGTCCATCTTTTCCTCAAACAAATAAATCAGGGTATTCCAAGAGTCTCGGATTAGCAGTCAGAGATGCCAAGGAAGGGAATTTAGTTTTGCTGAATAACAGACATGTGACGGGGTCTTTGGTCATGGTCTGACCATTGCCATATATCAGTTAGGAAAAAAAAAAGGTAAAATGATAAATTCTAAACCACTCAGAATTTTAATCCCATTAAAGAAATGGGGAGATAGAAGAGAAAGAGAAGGGGGTGGGGTAATAAAGTCACAACAAATGTAAGAAGAAGATTCTACAAAATGTGTAGGCCTGGGCTGTGCATTCAATGGTCCTAGCTTGGAGCAGAGGAAAAGTATGAATTGAACAAAAAGCCCTTAAGTGGAGAATTTACCCAGCAGGGCTGTCTCTTCCTCACAGAAGTACATTTCAATTTACCTGATTAACGAGACCATATGGCTGAACACTCAACCATGCAGGGAGTCAAATTTGATTACTGATCCTGATTTTTCACTCAAAATGTCATTTAGTACCAAAAGAGCTTCTAAAGCACGTAATTAAATGAAGAAAAAGGACTGTAGAACTATATCTTGGATTGCTGTAAAGAAAATATATTTGGCAGCTAGGCAGTCCATTACAATATGTCAATTTTAACGGGAGCTATTTGTCATTCTGTGCTTCAAAACTGTCATTTAATTTTTATCCCTTATTTCTCCATCATTAGCATTTAATATCTTCACTTGTTACTAAATTTTAAAGACCTAGCATATAACTTTTTTAAGAGAAAGAGGGAAAATGTAAGAAAGGAATAGAAAAAAGTCTATTAAAGAAAATGGGGGAAAAATTGAAGAACGTGTTTTTTCATCTACTATAGAAGGGGTGGATATATATGAACAAAAATAACTTGAAAGATCAAAAAGAAGTTAAAAGTAGAGAAAAATAACAGTTAATTTGTATTTGGACCTGCAGTTAAACACTCACGAGATCATCCTGACCTTTTGCCTTTTCTTTCCAGGGCTTTTTCCTAAACTTAGTTTTTGAATTTAGATAATTGTGATGACTCTTTAAACAAAAGATTATATCCCATTGTTTTTTCATTAAATCATAGCTGTGTACATCAATGCAATCATGGGGTACAATGTGCTGGTTTTACATACAGTTTGAAATATTTTCATCAAACTGGTTAACATCAAATCAGGCATTTTCTTAGTTACTGTGTTAAGACATTTATAGTCTACATTTAGTAAATTTTGCATGGACCCTTGTAAGATGCATTGTAGGTGTGGCCCCCTTCCCTCCACCCATCCTCCCCTGTCCCCTCCCTATTATATCACATTTTTATTTTTATTTTTTTTTGACACAGAGCCTTAAGCTGAGCCCCTGGGTAGAGTGCCATGGCTTCACTGCTCA